TTTAACTGATAAAGTACAAGAAGCTTATGCCACTCTCTCTCTAGAAGACTGTATGAATTATGATAAGGTTAAAGCAGCTATTCTCAAAGCATACGTGTTAGTAACAGAGGATTATCACCAAAAGTTTAGAGATTATCTCAAACAAGACAATCAAACTTATATAGAATTTGCCCAGGAAGAAGAGGTTTATTTTGATCGGCGGTGCAATCCTACGCATATTAGCAATAGTTTTGACAAACTAACACAATTATGTCTAATTAAGGAATTTAAATGTTGTGCACATGACAACCTCAAAACTTACTTGGATGAAACGAAAGTTGAAACACTACAGGAAGCAGCCACTATTTCAGATGATTACACTTTAAAACATAAAACCACTTTTCCTAAAAAAACATTCCTACCATCTCAACCTGTATCTGTTCAATCCACTAAAAATGAGGATTCTTCTAAAAATCCAGCTCCTCTAGTTCGAAAACTTCTGACAGTCAGGATAAAACTTCTTTAAAACAATCAGGGCCCATCTGCCATTTTTGTAAAAAACCTAGTCATGTTATGTCCGATTGTTGGTGTTTGAAAAAGAAAAATGAAAAGGAGGCAACACCCAGTGTGTTTGTATCCATATATGGACGTAGTTTCACCATATCACCCGATGTTGTTGATTTGGCCACTGATATAAAGGCTAATGTAATCAGAGAGGAATTTAGACCTTTTGTGTCTGTTGGTTCTGTGCCTTTGACAAATGATACTGGCAATCCCATACCCATACGCATTCTACGTGATACTGGGGCGACTCAGTCATTGTTGTTAGAAGGTATATTGCCTTTAGATTCGACTTCTACCACTGGCGAGTCTCTTATTACTCAGGGTATTGAGGGTGGCTTTGTTAATGTTCCTCTTCATAACATTTATTTGGCATCAGACCTCATTGTGGTTGGAATAAGACCTACTCTGCCAATTAAGGGTATATCATTGTTGTTGGGAAACGATTGGGCTGAGGGAAAAGTAATTGCCAAACCCAAAATGGTTAGTGAGCCGATCACTTTTTCATCTAAGAATGATATTGTCATTGAGGAGAATCCCGATGTGTTCCCTCGTGTGCTGTGACTCTAGCTCAGGCTATGAAATTAAGCCAAAAACAAATGATAGACATGGATTCAGAGAATGATATTATGGATTTGTCTCAGATATTTTTTTGGATCCAACTAGGATCTTGTGGATGATTGTCCTGCTGACAATACCACGGTGAGTGACAATTATGGATGTGAGAGATCTGATTCACCTGGTGAACTTCCATTTACTAAAAGTAAACTGATCGCTGAGCAAGAAAAAGATCTGCAGATCTCTTCACTATTTAAATATGCACGCCCAAAAGATGAACTGGAGAAAGTTCCAAATAGTTATTTTTTTCAAAAACGGTGTGCTTATGAGGAAATGGAGACCACCAGATGTGCCAGCTTCAGAGGACTGGGCTATTGTTTACCAAATCATTGTTCCCAAAGCATATTGTTCTGAAATATTGAAAGTTACCCATGAATTCCCCATGGGAGGTCATTTAAGTGTCAACAAGACATGTGACAAAATTATGAGACATTTCTTTTGGCCAAGAATTAGGCAAGATGTTTCTCTGTTTTGTAAAACTTGTCATACCTGTCAGTTGGTTGGAAAACCTAACCAGAAAATTCCTGTTGCTCCTTTAAAACCTATCCCAGCTTTCAAAAAATGTTTCAGTTGTGTGATTGTGGATTGTGTTGGGCCTTCACCAAAAACTCGATCAGGGAATCAATATTTGTTGACTATCATGTGCGCATCCATTTGATTCCCTGAACCTATCCCTTTGAGAAACATTTCAGCCCAAAAAATTTCTAAAGCTTTCATCAATTTCTTTACTTGGCTTGCCCAAAGAAATTCAGTCTGATCAGGGATAAAATTTTATGTGAGGATTGTTTCAACAAGTTGTTTATCAGCTCAGAGCTAAACAGATCACATCTGGTGCCTACCATCCAGAATCACAAGGTGCTCTTCAGAGATTCCATTCTACCTTGAAAAATATGATGCGGAATTACTGTTTCAATTACAAGAAAGACTGGGATGAAGGAATTAATTTATTATTATTTGCTGTTCACGAGTCAATTCAAGAGTCGTTAGGGTTTAGCCCATTTGAGTTGGTGTTTGGCCATTCAGTACATGGTCCTTTGAAGTTGCTGAAGGAACAATGGTTGGAAGATGATCCAAAACAAATGCACTTGTTGGATTAAATTTCTAAGTTCAGGTTCAAACTCTTAGGTGCTTGTGAATTGGCTCGAGAAAATTTGAAGTCATCCCAAGTTAAAATGAAAATGTTTATAACCACAAGGCTGAAGAGCACAAGTTCCATCCTGGTGACATGGTCTTAGTATTATTACCCACTAAGGGAGATCCACTCAAAAAGAAAAACAAAAGAGGAAGAAAAAGAACGTAAGACTGTTAAACTGCAGTTTACCACTAGGATAGTATGATTTGGAGATAATCCATGTCAAAGGAGATGATAACATTTGTGCTGATGCACTTTCACGTGCTATGTAAATTTTTGGTTATAAGGTTATTTGTATTGATTGTGTTATGTACCATCATGGTTATTGAAGTTTTGTAATCTGTTG